CGATCTCCTGACCTTGTGATCCGCCCGTCTCGGCCTCCCAAAGTGCTGGGATTACAGGCTTGAGCCACCGCGCCCGGCCTGCTCCATCCTTTAATAAGGTCAACTGAGGCCAGGCGTGGTGGTGCACACCTGTAATCCCAGCACTTTGGCAGGCTGAGGTGAGCAGATCACTTGAGTCCAGGAGTTCGAGACCAGCGTGGGCAACATGGCAAAACCCTGTCTCTAGAAAAAAATACTACAATTAGCTGGGCGTGGTGGTGCATGCCTATAGTCCCAGCTACTCCGGAGGCTGAGGTGGGAAGATCATTTAAACCTGCGAGGTGGAGGTTGCAGTGAACCGAGATCGCACCACTTCACTCTAGCCTGGGCAACAGAGACATTGCCTCAAAAACAAAAACAAACCAAAAAAAACCATGAAAGGTCAATTGATTTCTCCAATGCAGGGTGCTCTGTCCACACTACTCCGAGCCTCTTCCAGTCAGTTGCCACCCCTAGCCTCTCTCCTTGGGCTCTTTTGTTCTGCTTCAGGGAAGCGAACCATTATACTCAGTAGCTCCTGTGTCCTAAGCCAACCCACAGCTGCCCAGCTGAGTTACCAAGTCCAGGACGCCTGTAATCTCTGCCGTAACCGCTAGAGGCCACCCACACACCAGCAAAGCTAACAGTGATCTTCCTTTATTAGGGCTCTCCTATTTAATCTGTTCCTGCCTTAAAGGTACCATACTCTGGCCTGCCCAAATTGTGCTTACTCTTCCAGGAAGTCTTCTCAGATCTCTGCAGGTAGCAGTTGTACGCGGCTGCCTTCCCTTGCAGTATCTTCTGTAGTTCTGTTATCTCACTGATACTTTCAAAGGTCATGGTGGGGGCCTGAGATGCCATGTGCCTAGGCAGGCTAGGGTGGGTGGGGTGCCATTTGCACCGAGTGAGGGAAACTGTGATGCTACTTTCCAGTGGATGGGCAGAATCCTCATCTGTCTCTTGGTCAAATACAGGTGTCAAGACTGCCACAACTGACAGGAGAGTGAGCTCTTCACCTCTAGGGATGAGGGAGCTGGAGAGCTTGTGCCTCATCCCAGCTGACAGGGAGTGGGGCTCCCATCCATCCTGCTCTGAGGTCTGGCCTTGGCCCTTAACAGGAAGGTTCATAAAGCTAAGGGGCTGGGGAACGGGGAACTGGGGTCACTTGCCATCAGATCGCCTGAGGGTGGACAGGGGGATGCCCAGGGCAGCACTGGAGTACATGGAAGACCACTGAAAAGGTTTAGATTGCACAGTGACACTCGCCTGTAATCCCAGCCACTTGAGAGACTGAGTCAGGAGGAGGCTTGAACTATGCAGTTCGAGTCTGGCCAGGGCAAAATAGTAAGACCCTGTCTCAAAATAAAAGTAATACAACTGTAATCCCAGCACTTTATGGGAGCAAAGGTGGAAGGATCATTTGAGCTCAGGAATTTGAGACCAGCCAGAGCAATACAGTGAGACCTTGTCTCTACTAAAACAATTTTAAAAATTAGCCAGGGGGAGTGGACACAGTGGTTCAGGCCTATAATCCCAGCACTTTGGGAGGCCAAGGTGGGCGGATCACTTGAGGTTGGGAGTTCAAGACCAGCCTGGCCAACATGGTGAACCCCCGTCTCTACTAAAAATGCAAACATTAGCTGGGCGTCATGGCGCATGCCTGTAATCCCAGCTACTCAGGAGGCTAAGGCAGGAGAATCACTTGAACCTGAGAGGCAGAGTTTGCAGTAGCAGAGATCTGCCACTGCATTCCAGCCTGGCGACAGAGCAAGACGTTGTCTCAAAAAAATGAAATAAAAAAATTAGCCAGGCATGGTGGCACATGCCTGTAGTCCCAGCTACTTGGGAGGCTGAGGTAGGAAAATCACTTGAGCCCAGGATGCAGTGAGCTATGATCACTGCCACTGTACTCCAGCCTGGATGACACAGCAAGACTCTGTCTCATCAGAAATAATAATTAGCTGGGCATGGTGGCGTGTGCCTGTAGTCCCAGCTACTCAGGAGGCTGAAGTGGAAAGATCACTTGAGCCCAGGAGTTCAAGTTTACAGCAAGCCATGATCATGCCACTGCACTCTAGACTGGGCAACAGAGTGAGACCATCTCTAAAAAAGCAAAACCCAGGCCGGGCGTGGTGGTTCATGTCTGTAATCCCAGCACTTTGGGAGGCTGAGGTGGGCATATCACCTGAGGTAGGAAGTTCGAGACCAGCCTGGCCAACATGGTGAAACCCCGTCTCTACTTAAAAAAAAAAAAAAATACAAAAATTAACCGGGTGTGGTGGCAGATGCCTGTAATCCCAGCTACTCAGGAGGCTGAGGCAGGAGAATCACTTGAACCCAGGGGACGGAGGTTGCAGTGAGTTGAGATTGCACCATTGCACTCCAGCCAGGGGGACAAGAGCGAGAGTTCGTCTCAAAAAAAAAAAAAAAAGCAAAACCCCCCAAAAAACCAATAATAATAATAATAATAAAGGGTTTGGACAGGTTCAGCAGTCACGCTGGGATGGAGACAGGTTTTACACTGAGGAAGAGATGATCAACTGGGCCTGGGCTGGCAGCTCCTGGTCATCCTCAGGTTCACAGTGAAACACAATCATAGACCAACATTCTTTAATCACAAAGGCACTTGAGGACCCCTACAAACCCAAAGTCTCTGCCAAGAGTGGCCCTGCAGACACCCCACCTGCCACCTTCTATCCACCCATCCATCCATCCCACACTCAGAGTTCATCGTGACCTGCAGAGGGCTCCACACTAGGCTTGATGAAGATGCCTTCCATGGCCTTCCACGTATTGTGCGTGTTGGCACTGGGCATGCCGTGGACCTCATGCTGCCCACGGATGGGGCTTCCATACTGCTCACCCGTGACTGACAGGAACACAGAGGTGCCCACGTGCTGGAAGCGCACAGCAGCTTCACGCTCCCAGTGCTGTCCAGAGCAGCGCACTGTCCATAGGTCTAGGTCGTCACCCTCGCCGTCTTCCCCAAAGGCACTCACCTCCTATAGGTGCAGAGGGTGAGGGGACAGTGGTCACCACAGAAGGCGGCATTCGCACCTACACTGAGCCTAGGATCCTTCCCTGCCCTTCCCGGAGACTCAGCTCCCACAGCTGCAAAAGGTGACACCATGACCCGCCCACGCAACCTCTGGCACTCCCTCCCCAGCATGGGCTCTTCAGACACATGCACACACCATTGCATCTGCCTGTGCAGAGACCACTGGTCCCCACAGAGCTAAGGCCTCCTCCTCCACATTCTCCCAGTCCTAACCCCTCTGACCTACCTTCAGCCCCTCAGGCTAGCAGTCAAGCTGTCTATCTATCTCAAACATTTTCTTCCACCAACTCTCCAAGGGCACCCACTGTTCCATCCCAATCCCCTGAATTCCACTGACCTCCATGCATTGGTGCAATCTCTTCTGCTGGCCTGGGAAGTCCTTCTTTTCCCTTTGTGGCTTGGAGGACTCCTAATCATCCTTTCAGACCCAGCCTGAGTTCCTCCTCCCCAGTGGAGTTTCCTATTCCCCACCCTCAAGGCTGTGTGGATTCTCCTCCTGGGTCCCACTTGCCCCCAGAGGAAGAGCTATCCAGGAGGATCTCTTCGGATCTCTCTCCCATCGGTCTCCCTGCCGGGCCGGGAGCACCTGGGGGCAGGATCTTGGCGGAGTTACTCTGTTTCCCCCGAAGGGGTGCTCAATAACCATCTCTGAAGTGAAATTTCCATTTCACGAAGAAGCTGAGGCTCGGATTGGAACCCAGGATCTCTGGCCCCTCACACAGGCCAGGAATCTCTCTGGGGGCTCCGGGAGGAGCTCACCTGGTTGTTGGACAGCGGTGACGGGAAGTGGTGCGTGTGTAGGTTCTTGCCTGTAAGCACATGCGTGAGCCGCACTGCCTGCCCGCAGCGCACCGGGGACCCACGCGGGCACCCGCCTTCCGAACCGCCGCGGATCCGCCAGTAGCTATTGGCGTCGTCCGACGCCTCCACGCCGGTCACCGATTGCTGGCCGCTGCCTGAGGAGTGACACCCCACCCACCCAGGGTCTCCGTCAATCGCAGAACCCCGGACCCTCGCCCTGGGATCATAACATTTCCCAGGGGACCCCAAGGGGCTCACCCCCAGCCCCGGCCCCCGCCTGACACCTCCCTCAGTCTTTGGGCCTGCAGTTCCCCGACGACCGTCCCCACCCTCAATATCCTCGACACCCTCAAAGCCTTGCGCCCCTCGACCCCCCAACGACTCTAGAGCCTCCGCCGCCCGGCTTCGAGACGGCCCACAGACCCCCACGACCACCCTGTCTCCACACTCCCAACCCCAAGCCCCCGATCCCCGCGCTCTCCCAGTCGCAGGTCACACGCACCGGATCCGTATTTGATGTCGTGCGAGTGCAGCCGCACCCGGTGGTGCGTATTGAGCAGCTTCAGCACCGACCCGCAGGTCACGAGCCCCGCGCCAGTCTTGGCAGCACTACCGCCCGGCACTAAGAGCGCCAGCAGCAGCCCCAACAGCACCGGCCCGGCAGACTCGCCGCGGCCCGCGCTCCACATCGCCCCGGCCCGGCTCCAGTCGCTCCGGCCCTTGGGCTGCTTCCGTCCTCGCCGCGGCCCAATCCAGTTCTGACAGCGCCCGCTCGCGGCAGCCAATGGTCGGCCCGCGCGGCACTCCGCTTGCACTGCCATTGGGTCATTGAGGAGAGGGCCCGCCCCCGGCTCTCTAGAGCAGTAGCTGGGCGGGGACTGGAGACACGAGGAGGGTTTTGATTGGTACACGCTTCCGAGGACTTTCCAATGAGTGTCCAGGGAAGGGCGGCTGAGTAGCCAAGCGGCGGAGAATGAGCGGGAGCGCTTGGTGAGGACGCCGAGTCCGAGCCCCGCAGCCGCTGAGTGCCTGGATGCCAGCTCAGGATCCTAGGACCCTGCAGGCACGTGTCCACGACGCCCCTTGATCCTGGACTCCTGGGCACTCAGGAATTAGTCTCTCCCCTCAGAACCTGGGACCACAACTGCAGGGTCTTGAGGCTGTTGGATCACTAGATTTTGTGGTCACAAAGTCGACAGATCCCAGAATCACTGAATCGTCTGGTCCTTCAGTCCCTGGACCCCGAGATTAATGAAACCCCCAGTCATTCGGCCCTAGCCGCCTCTCTGACACTGGGTCACCACAGTCCCTAGACCCTGGGGTTTCTGAATTCCCCTGGCCACTTATACATTTGACTCCTTTCGTGGCTAAATCTTGTGGTCACTGGGTCATCGGGCAGGAGAGGGCAGCAGGGAGCTGTGGCGTCGAGAATAATGGCAGCTTCCCACCAGAAAGCCCCCGAGCTGTCTTAGGAAACCAGAGTCCAAGGAGACCAAGGGGCTGTGGGAACCAAGCCTGGGTGACTGTGCCCCAGTCTCCTGGCCATGAGTAGGTCTCCCTTTTGCCACCTTCTCAGAGTGTTGTCAGCTCAACCTTCAAGGGAGGAAAACTTATACCACTGTTTATTTATTCATTCATGGGACATTGTTGCAGCGGCTTCACTCCAGATCCTGTGGGGTCACAGAGGAAATAGCTCTGGGCTCAAGAGGCTGACTAAGGTGTAGTTGAAGCACAGGCAAAGCAGAGACAAAAGTTCATATTTAATTAAATCGTCCAGAATTTTGCATTCAGAAAATCCAGAGTAAAGCGATTTTCATTACAGCAACATGTTATTTTGGGGGTTTCATGTTTCATATTGTTTTTATTTTGAGTTACATGTAGTGTAAGTCACCTTGATCTTTTCAGCATTTAGGTGTCCAAACAGTTAAAGGTCAGTCTACCCTGGATTTGGTAGTCACTGCACTTGAGGGGTTTCCAGTCTAGGGTGGAAGAGCTGAAGTACTATCTGAGAGGCAACGGATATATACTCTTGGACATGTCAGCCATCACCTCAAAATCAACACATGCAAAGCAGAATTCCTGGTCTCTGCCCTCAAACTGCTCCTCCCCCAGGCCTCTGAGTCTCAGTAAATGGCACCTCCATTCAGGCCCAAAACTTGGGATTCTTCTTTCATTTGTCTCTTTACCTTGTTGCTCCTCACATCTCATTCAACAAGTCTTTTTTTTTTTCTTTTCTTTTGAGATGGAGTTTCGCTCTTGTTACCCAGGCTGGAGTACAAAGGCGCGATCTCGGCTCACTGCAACCTCCGCCTCACGGGTTCAAGAGATTCTCCTGCCTCAGCCTCCTGAGTGTCTGGGATTACAGTCATGCATCACCATGCCCAGCTAATTCTTTTGTATTTTTAGTAGAGACAGAGTTTCACCATGTTGACCAGGCTGGTCTCGAACTTCTGACCTCAGGTGATCCACCTGCCTCATCCTCCCAAAGTGCTGGGATTACAGGCGTGAGCCACCACCATCACTCCCAGCCTTTATTTATTTAGTTTTTTAACTTTTGAGTCTCCACATGTGCCTCATTCAACAACTCTTTTTTTTTCTTTGTTTTTTTTTTTGAGACAGAGTCTTGCTCTGTCGCTCAGGCTGGAGTGCAGTGGCGCAATCTCAGCTCACTGCTGCAACCTCTGCCTCCCGGGTTCAAGCGATTATCCTGCCTCAGTCCCCTGAGTAGCTGGGATTACAGGCATGTACCCAGCTAATGGGATTAAGGCAGGTACCCAGTACCACTACGCCCGGCTAATTTTTGTGTTTTTAGTAGAGATGGGTTTTCACCATGTTGGCCTGGCTGGTCTTGAACTCCTGACCTCAGGTTATCCACCCGCTTTGGCCTTCCAAAGTGTTAAGATTACAGGCATAGGCTGGGCCCGGTGGCTCACGCCTGCAATCCCAGCACTTTGGGAGGCTGAGGTGGGCGGATCACCTGAGGTCAGGAATTCAAGACCAGCCCAGCCAACATGGAGAAACCCTATCTCTACTAAATCAGAGCCATAAAGACGTGTTGAGTGGGCTGGGCATGGTGGCGCATGGCTGTAATCCCAGCTACTTGGGAGGCTGAGGTAGGAGAATCGCTTGAACCTAGGAGGTGGAGGTTGTGGTGAACCAAGATCATGCCATTGCACTCCAGCCTAGGCGACAAGAGCGAAACTCCGTCTCAGAAAAAAAAAAAAAAAAGATTACAGGCGTGAGCCACCATGCCCAGCCCACTCAACGTGTCTTTATGGCTGTCATTCCAAATCACATTTCAAGGCATCTCTCCTGAGTCCCCATCACAGTTCTAACCCAAGCCCCTCCATCTCCCATTTAGATATTGACCACTGCCTCCTAACAGGTCTAGCTGCTTCCATTATGATGCTGGCCCCTCCAAAGCATTCTTTCTACACAGGAAAGTGGTAAAAGCAGCTGGGCACGGTGACTCCCCAGCACTTTGGGAGGATGAGGCAGGCAGATCACCTGAGGTCAGGACTTCAAGACCAGCCTGACCAACGTGGCGAAACCCCGTCTCTGCTAAAAATGCAAAAATTAGCCAGGCGTGGTCTCATGTGCCTGTAATCCCAGCTGCTCAGAAGGTTGAGGTGGGAGAATCGCTTGAACCCAGGAGGCAGAAGTTGCAGTGAGCCAAGATCACACCATTGTCCTCCATCCTGGGCAATAAAGTAAGACTTCATCTCAAAAGAAAGTGGTAAAAGCATAGATCAAAAGATCATGCCAGTTCCCTGCTAGAAGCTGCCAGCCATTTCCCAGTTGCATTTAGGACCACAGGAGGGTGAGGACACAGCAGGCAATCTTCCTGACAAGCAAGACAGGATTCTAAGTAGGCTGAGATACCAGACCTAGAGTGGGGAAGCCAATGTAGCACTCCCTTGACTCTCACGGGGAGCCTCATGGCCTCTCTTTGCTGTTCCCTTCTCCAGCCTCCTGCTGCAGACCGCCTTCCCCTGCTCACCCTATGGGCAGCTCCTCAGGGCTGATTATGGCCTTTCCAATGCCCTCCACCTACCAACCATAATTTGTCTTAAGGTTCAGGTTCTCAAGAGAGAATCTGATTGGCTCAACTCGGGCCCAAGGACTGCTAAAGGTACAATCAGCTGTGGAGAGGAGGAAGGGTGGTAACTAGTCTCCAAATACTAACAATTCCTCCCATCCCCGTAAGCCAAAGATACGTAGTTCATTTCCTCTTTCCTTGAATCTGGGTAGGTAGCACAACTTGTTCTGACCAATTGAATGCCGAAGAAGTGCTGTTTGGGGACTTCTGAGCACCGGCCATAAGAACTCTGGCAGGTCTGGCTTCATCCTTCTAGGAAGCTAGACAATGCACCTTGCGGTAATGAAGTGCCAAATTACTGCGTGGTAAAAAGGCACATAGAGAGGGACCCTGGAATGTTCCAGCCTCAGTTCAGTGAGCAGCTGAAAGCAGTCACATAAGCAACTCCAGTGTACACCACTGCCCCCCTGAGCCTCCAAACTCCAGTGTTGGGCGGGGCACGGTGGCTCAAGGCGGTAATCCCAGTGCTTTGGCAGGCCAAGGCGGGAGGATCACTTGAGCCCAGGAGTTGGAGACCAGCCTGGCCAATATAGTGAAACCCTGTCTCTACTAAAAATACAAAATTGGCCGGGCGCAGTGGCTCACGCCTGTAATCCCAGCACTTTGGGAGGCTGAGGCAGGTGGATTACAAGGTCAGGAGATCGAGACCATCCTGGCTAACACGGTGAAACCCCATCTCTACTAAAAATACAAGAAAATTAGCTGGGCATGGTGGCAGGCACCTGTAGTCCCAGCCACTCAGGAGGCTGAGGCAGGAGAATGGCATGAACCCAGAAGGCGGAGCTTGCAGTGAGCAGAGATCGCGCCACTGCACTCCAGCCTTGGCGACATTGCAAGACTCCGTCTCAAAAAGAAAAAAAAAAAATTTTAGCCCAGCATGGTGGCACACGCCTGTAGTCCCAGCTACTCAGGAGGCTGAGGCAGGAGAATCCCTTGAACCCGGGAGGTAGAGGTTGTGGTGAGCCAGGATCGCACCAAGGCACTCCAGCCTGGGCAACAGAGCGAGACTCTGTCTCAAAAAATAAAAATAAAAATAAAAGCCGGGTGCAGTAGTTCATGCGTGTAATGCCAGCACTTTGGGAGGCTGAAGCAGGCAGACCAACTGAGGTCAGGAGTTCAAGACCAGCCTGTCCAACATAGTGAAACCCCATCTCTACTAAAAATACATAAAAAATTAGTGGCCAGGCGTGGTGGCTCATGCCTGTAATCCCTGCACTTTGGGATGCAGAGGTTGGTGGATCACTTGAGGTCAGGAATTCGAGACCACCCTGGCCAACATGGTGAAATCCCGTCTCTACTAAAAATACAAAAATTAGCTGGGCATGGTGGCGGGCGTCTGTAGTCCCAGCAACTCAGGAGGCTGAGGGGACAGAATTGTTTAAAGCCAGGAAGTGGAGGTTGTCATGAACTAAGATCATGCGACTGCACTTCAGCCTGGAAGACACAGCAAGACGTTTTTTTTTTTTTTTTTTTTTAAGACACAGTTTCACTCTGTTGCCCAGGCTGGAGTGCAGTGGTGCAATCTCGGCTCACTGCAACCTCTGCTCCCCCAGGTTAAAGCCATTCTCCCGCCTCAGCCTCCCAAGTAGCTGGGATTACAGGTACCTGCCACCACACCTGGCTAATTTTTGTATTTAGTAGAGACAGAGTTTCACCGTGTTGGCCAGGCTGGTCTCCAACTCCTGGCCTCAAGTGATCTGTCCACGTCAGCCTCTCAAAGTGTTGGGATTACAGGCATGAGCCCAGCCAAGACTTCATCTTAAATATAAGTAAACGAATAAGTAAATAAATAAAATGGCGGCTGAAATCTCAGGACAACAAACCTGTGTCCCAGCAACACAGGCTTTATTTCTATTTCTTTCGCTGGCTCCCCTGAGAGTCTCAGCAGAGCTCCTCATGGGCATTCAGCCTGTGGTGACTCTGCTCATGGCAGGGGCTGGTGTAACGGGCAGCAACTCTGACAGAGCAGGGAATCCAGTGGCTAGTGGGGACTTCATGGTGGGTCGCTATGGCCCACGTCCACAGAGTGGCTGACCGAGGCCTCCTCTCCAGGTTCTGGGAGGCTCTGGACTCCATCCTCCTCCTTGTCCTCATCCTGGTCCTCATCCTTGTACTCATCCTCATCTTCATCTTCAACCTCGGCCTCATCATGGCCTTCACTGTCCGTGTCCTTGGACTTGGGGAGACTGGAACCCATGCCAGTGCCAGCGGACACTGAGAGCTTGGGCTCCAATGGGCTGAGCTGCCGGCTGGCTGGCAAGTTGGTGTAAATGGAGCGGCAGGGCTCTGTGGCCTGGTCCTGGGCAGTGTGGGTGGCCGGTTCCCGCTGCACAGAGGGTGTCTCTGTGCTGCGGTGGGGGGTGCTGAGCCGGGAGGTCTGCCGGGCCCTTTTGGCCTCCTCCAGTTTACGCAGCAGGCAGCTCCGGTGGGTCTCCGAGGACAGCTGGATGTGGGAGCCTTTCACCTTCTTTAAGCCCAGGGAAAGGTCCCTGAGCACTTGGGTGACAGGAAAGGAGAAGAAGCCCAGCTGCTTACTGAGGTCCTTTTCAAACTCATACTTGCGGATGAGCAGGGAGGCTGCCTGCTGGGTCAGGAAGTCGGCGAGCTCCTCATAAAGGCGGTTGGAGAAGTGAGACATGCTGGACTTCGATGAGATGGAGGGCAGCGGCTTCTTCTTTGTGAACCTGCCACTGCTGCGGGGGCTCTGCATAGCAGCCGGGGAGGGAAAGGAACACATGTCACATCTGCCAGCCCCATCCCTCTGTGACACCCCTTCCAGCCACTGTGCCCTCCTCAGAGCCCTGCCAGCCCTGCCCATCGCAAACATGAATGGGTACACTTCGTGTGACAAACACACTTGTCACACGAAGGGTACAGCTTTGCCACATCTGCTATGCTGACGCACTCAACTGCCCACTCTCATGCTCACCTCACCATCACACCTCCTACACCTGTTGGGCCTGGGGCAAGGGCAGAGAACTGTCACAGGGTGAGGTTAATCTGAGCTTTGACAACTGGGTTTGGGCAGGCCTCCGCCCAGGCCTGCCCAGAGAGATGCCTGCAGGAGCCTTGATGGCCGAGGAAAGGGTCGAGGGACCATGCTGGAGATCCACGAGTGTGAGGCCACCTACGTCTTGTGCACATCCTGCCTGGTCAACTTTCCCTCGGCAAAGTCCAGAGACTGGAGAGTCCTGCTGGAGGCAGCTGGATTCAAGGGAACTAGACCTAGGAGGCAAGGCCCCGGCCAGGCTAGTACTTCTGTCCACAAGGGACGGGACCCTCCGCTCCCACATAGGAGCGTCTCTAGATTCACATAGAAACGTTAGCAAAAATACCCAGCATAAATAAATAGCCTTTATTTATCTGTGACAACACCTGGTAGTAGCTAGGCCAGGATTCACGGGCCCCCATCAGCTTGACCCCTGCCCAGGAGGTTTCCACAGTGCAGGGCAAGAGACCTTGACCTTGAGCACCTGCCAGTGATAGTGGCTGCTAGGAGTGGTGGGTCAAGGAGCCTTTCTCCTGCAAACTCATGTCCGGTCCTACTTTCGAGGAGGTCACCTCTGGACACAGTGAGGCAGGAGATGAGGAAGCAACTGGGGAGAGCTCAGGGAGAAGGTAGCAGGAAGAGCGGGGGTAGGGGCAGGCAAGTGGAGGTGTGACAACCCTGAGGTGGCCCTGGCCGCAGGCCACCTCCACCACTATCCCGGGCGTGGGCAGGGTGAGGTGCAGACCCCGCCAGGGCTGGGCCCTCTGTCTGGAGCTCAGGGAAACAGGTGGGTTTTGTAATTTGGGATCTGAGTCAGGCTCCTTCTCCCTGGAGTGGAGTGAGGGTCTGGGGACATCGGGCTTCTCCATGGGTGTCACCTTGAGCTTGAATCTGGTGGCCACCTGGGCACTAGACATGGAGGGGGAGCCTCCTCTGTCCTTGTGTTTTCTCTGAGGCGTCTTGGGGCTGGAGACTGTGGGGTGGGGCTGCCCGCTGTTGGTGGGTTTAGCCGGCTCAGAGCCCAGCAGCGGCAGATTTCGTTGAACCTGCAGCTCTGAGGGGGGCTCCAAGCTGGTGGGGAACAGAGGACGGCCGTCGCGGCAGCGGGCGCCGCGGAGCTTATCCACAGCCTGGTTGACGACGCTCTGCAGGGCAGGGAAGAGGCGGTGGTCAGCCAGGAAGTTCAGTGTGCGATGGGGCTCACGGAGCGGACAGTAGCCAGGCAGGTTGAGGGACTCCAGCCGGCTCAGTAACGACTTGATCTCTTTATTGAACTCTCGTTTGCAGATCGGCTCCTGTTCTCCAGGCCTCGGCTCTGATGCTTCAGGCACACCAGAGCTTGAGCCCAGCAGCTCCGAGAACCAGGACAGGGGCTGCTCCTGGGTCCACTGAAAGCTGGTCTGGCTGCCCAGCAAATCCCACAGCAGGGAGTCCCTCTTGGAGCAGGACTGACTGAGGCCTTTCTGCAGAAAGAGGGTGACTCTGAGAAGTGTTCAGGAGCAGCCAAGCCAGGGCTGACCCTGGCCCTGGGCTCTCCGTGGGAGTCCACCCCACCCAGCCATGGCCCCGGCTCTCACCCCTTTCCTCTCCAGCTGTAGCAGCCGCTTGAGATTCTTCTCCAGCAGGAGTTTGTCCTTCACAGGTGGCAGTGAGCCTAAGCCTTGGGCACCTAGGTCACTGTCCCGGCTGTGGGAGCCCAGCCAGCCAGCCATGAGGCTGCTATGGGAGTCGGACATGGAGCTGGAGCTGGATGGGTAGTTGTTGGGGTATCCAGTGCAGAGGGTCGGCCGTACACGGTGCCGGTGTACAGTGCCGAGGCTGGGCCGGGCATGTGCCCGCCGCCCACCACTTGGCACCTCCACTGGGTCCTGCACCTCCACAAGCGGCACCCCAGCCTCGGTCTTCATGGCAGCCATGCGCTCAGTCGCCTTCTCCACCACTGTCTCCAGGCTGTCCAGGACATGGCTTTCAGTCAGGAAATCCAGAAAGTGGCTAAAGGGCTGAGGGTGCCTCTTGTTTCGGCGTTGGTTCTGGAGCGCTGAGCTGCCACATGTGGATGGTGGGTGTGGCACACGGCCCGGCTTGGAGGCTGGCCCCATCTCCGGAACCAGTGGCTTCTTGGGTAGCTGCACCTGAGCAGACAGGTATGTCACAGTGGGCATGGGTGCCCTACAGGTGAAGGGCTCCCTGGGGTCTTCCTAGGGTAACACTAGGACCTGAGTGAGAGTGAGTAGTGGAAGGAGCTGCATTTTGGAGTCTGGAAGCCCTGGATTTGGACCCTGGCTCTGCCACCTACAGCCTGATGACAGTGTGCAAGATGGCCCCTCTTGAGGTCCAATTTCCTTATCTGCAAAGTGGAGGTCTATTCAGGGTCGCCCTGAAGCTTTCCTAACACCTACATTTCACACACACAAGTCCTGGCTAAGGGACTTAGCCTGCTTCTGCCCTGATACATGGCAGGATGAGCAATCATGAACCTCTTGGAGTCTCCCTCCAGCTCCTCCTCTGTCCATGCAGCAGGCCATCCCTGTCTCCATGGCAGGGCTGCAAACAACACCTGAGGTCTTGAGTGCAGACAATAGCTGAGGTCTTGAGCCCTGTGCTACCCAGGGCTGTTTCTCCAACTTGAGCCCTAGGCACCTAGTCAACTCCCAGTTCCCACTCTAGGGTCCCAGTCCACCCAAGCACCTTCCAGGTCGCTGGAAGTCAGAAGGAAACAAGGAATGAAATTGAGTGTGACAGGGGCAAGCAGGGGAGTCATAGGAGAAGTCAAGGCAATAAGGACTCCGCTAAGAGGCCCACAAAGCAGGTCAATAGACAATGAGAAATGGGGGCTGTGGTCTTGGGTGTCAGGGTTGGCGGGGAACATGTTGTGGCCTTAAGGGTCGGCGTCCTGCTGGGCACACTTACTCGTGCACTGCACATGGAGTGGCTGGCCTCATCGTCAGCCACGTAGCCCGAGTGGTGGCGGCACCTGGCCATGTGGTCACCTGGCAGGTGACCGAGCCTGCTGCCCACCTCTCTCTTCAGCTGCGCATTCCTCTCTGCGCGGGCTGGGGAGACAACGTGAGGGTCTCCAATAGGTCCACACATCTGTGGCCCTGGAGTCTGCGGTTCCCTTGCTCCCCGCACCCCGCGTCCTTCATGCATCCAGCCCTTCCTCTGCTCCATGGCCCCCATGCGTCTGCAGGCAGGCAGTTCCCAGAGTCATTGGGATGGAATCGCAGAGGATCATCCTGTCTCCGATCATCTTTGGATCTGCGTGTGCTTAACCCTCCCTACTCCCAAACCCTGGGCAACCTGGCTTTCGCCCCAGACCGGAATCAACGGACTCACCAGAAACACGGCCTTGCTCCGCGCAGGCCAGTACAGTCTGCGCCCTCACTGGGGCAGCTACACAGTGCGAGGAAGTCGACTAGCGGCCTCCACTTGCTTATTTGCATACCACATCCTCATTGGTTCTTACCGAGGAGCTCATCCACTACCCTCTCCGACACAATAGTTGGGGGCGGGGCCCACGTTGGCCCAACCTCCAATTCTCTGGACTCTGCCCTCCCACACTCGTCTGGGAGCCGCAGGGTGAAGATGCTGGTGTCTACGTCCCCGCTGCCGGGAGGACCCCCACCCACCACCGAAGCTGGGGCTAGGCTCTATGATCCGCTCCTGCCCCAAGGGGAGTCTAAAAGCCAAAGCCACGTCTTCCACCAGTGACACAAGCACCTTCCTCGTGTCCTCCCTGGTCGCTGCGCAGCCCTGGGCCTCCTGCTCCTGTTCCTTTCCAGGGGCCTCTGCCCCTCCCGCGGTGTGCACAGCCCCAGGTTCTACCTTGAGACCTCTGCCCTCTGCAGTGGAGAGAGTGCTGGCTCTCAGTCACAGACTTAGCTTCAGTTCCTGGCTCTGCTCTTTCCTGCCAATGTGACTCAGCCTCTCTTAGCATTGGTCCTGCACTGTAAATGGGCTTGAGTGTTCTTCCAATATGGGAATATGGGATTCAATACAATCTCCCTACAACACACCCCGTATCCCAGTGAAGCCTTGAATATTCTTACCTCCTCTCCCTCCCTCCTTTTCTCTTTTGCTCAGTAATACCCCACCACAGTGTCACTTCTTCCAAAAAGCTTTTACTGTGAATTCTGCCACTCCGTACACGATTCACAGTAAACCCCATTCCAGACTCCACCATACCATGTTGCTACTTATGTGTCTCCCAGATGGTGCTCCTTTGGGGCCAGAACTGAGGCAAGTCACCCTGAATCTTTAATACTTCCAGTGTCTGGCACCAAGTAGGTGCTCAATAAATGTCAGTCTCCTCCTTCCCATCTGCGCACCCTCGGGACCTCTGACCTTTCCAAGATCAGCTTCCAGTGGAGAATGGTGGTTGGTTGAGGTCTGACAATTCACCAGTCACTATAAACACAACAGTCGTTATGCCAAGAGCATGGTTGAAGGACTCTATGAGGCTTTCAGTCCTCACATACCTCATGAAATATTGTTACTCTCGAGTTCTGCTCTGTCCTCTCAGCTTTGGCTACCCACTAGGTCAGGGACAGAGAGGACAAAGCAGGTCTGGGTGCAGGCCCTGAGCTGTGAGGTTCAGTCTTATCTCCACTACTCCTGGCAGGACCACACTTTCGCTCTCTGACCCCCCGTTTCCTAATCTGTGAACAAGAATGACATTACCAATTTCATAGTCTGGACACAAATACCATGGGAAAAATCAAGACTGCCACATTGCAGTGAAAACTGTGGCTGCCTACCATATACAGTCATGGGTAAGGAAAGCTTTTCTGGACCAAAGAGAAAAACAGTGAAGTTATTAATGTAAAAGCTGTAGCCTGGCAGAGAGCTCAAGATGGAAACAGGAGATAATGTTTTCTCAAAAAAACCCATTAGTGTATATGCTTTCTTTCATTTTCTTAGTGTCTAGAGCTCAAGAAAATAAATAAATAAATAAATAAATGCCTGCTCTTATAAAAATCTGCAAAAGATCAATAGGCAATTTGAAAAAGAATAAGAATAGCTAATAATATGAAAATTTTCATTCACACTGCTATCTAAGAAACTACTAGAATGTGATAACATTGGTGTAATCATCTTTTTTTTTTTTTTTTTTTTTTTGAGGCGAAGTCTCGCTCTGCCGCCCAGGTTGGAGTGCAATGGCCGGATCTCAGCTCACTGCAAGCTCCGCCTCCTGGGTTCACGCCATTCTCCGGCCTCAGCCTCCCGAGTAGCTGGGACTACAGGCGCCCGCCACCTCGCCCGGCTAGTTTTTTGTGTTTTTAGTAGAGACGGGGTTTCACCGTGTTAGCCAGGATGGTCTCGATCTCCTGACCTCGTGATCCGCCCGTCTCGGCCTCCCAAAGTGCTGGGATTACAGGCTTGAGCCACCGCGCCCGGCCCCTGGTGTAATCATCTTTATGTTCTCAAAACAACACACAAAAAAGGTGGGTTGGGGAGAAAGGTAGTTGGGTGTGTTTATTTGCTTAGAGAAAACACTGGAAGGACACAACCCAGAAAGTTTACAATGGCAATCTCTGGAAAGGGTAGGAGATTTTTTTTTTTTCTTTTTTGGTATTTTTCCTTTTTCTTTTCTTTCTTTCTTTCTTTCTTTTTTTTTTTTTTTTGAGATAGAGTCTCGCTCTATCGTCCATGCTAGAGTGCAGTCATGTGATCTCGGCTCTCCACAACCTCCGCCTTCCGGGTTCAAGCATTTCTCCTGCCTCAGCCTCCCGAGTAGCTGGAATTACAGGCGCGTGCCACCACTCCCGGCTAATTTTTGTGTTTTGAGTAGCGACGGGGTTTGCCCATGTTGGCCAGGTTGGTCTTGAACTCCTGACCTCGTGACCCACCCGCCTCGGCCTCCCAAAGTGTTGGGATTACAGGCGTGAGCCACTGCGCCCGACTTCCTTTTGGTATTTTTCATATTAAATATCACTTTTGCAGTCAAGGAAAGTTCCGCGTTGCAATGAATCCAGCACTGGTCTGGTTAGCGCGGGAGCTGTTGCCGGGTCCTTGCAGGGGCACGCCGGACCGCTAGGTGGCGAGAACAAAGGCGAAGCGCAGCCGCACCTGGGCGTGTGCGTCGGGGCGGGGCATGGGCAGCGTCCAGGGGCGGGGCCTGGGCTGTCCGGCCCACTCCCCTGGGAGCGCTAGCGGTGGGCCCAGGCGGCCATGTCCCGCCCTCGCGTGCGCCTGGTTGTCACCGCGGACGACTTTGGTTACTGCCCGCGACGCGATGAGGGCATCGTGGAGGCCTTTCTGGCCGGGGCCGTGACCAGCGTGTCCCTGCTGGTCAACGGTGCGGCCACGGAGAGCGCGGCGGAGCTGGCCCGCAGGTGAGGGGAGGGCCCTAGCAGGGCGGCGATCGGCTTGGGGCGCGCTGCTCCGCGGCCGCCAGTGCTCCAGCTCGCGCTCCGCCCTCAGGCACAGCATCCCCACGGGCCTCCACGCCAACCTGTCCGAGGGCCGCCCAGTGGGTCCGGCCCGCCGTGGCGCCTCGTCGCTACTCGGCCCCGAAGGCTTCTTCCTTGGCAAGATGGGATTCCGGGAGGCGGTGGCGGCCGGAGACGTGGATTTGCCTCAGGTGCGGAGCCGCAGCTGCAGGAGGATGCTCGCGAGGACCCCCAGAGCTCCGCCCGGAGGGTACTGTGGGCCATTAGGAGATGGCGGTGGATGACTTCTTCATTTAAACACTGGAGCGGTCACACGGCAGCACGAGGAGGGTGTCCTCGGCAGCTACTCCCGGTTGCTCAAGGTGTCTCTCGCTCGCCCTCTAGGTGCGGGAGGAGCTCGAGGCCCAACTAAGCTGCTTCCGGGAGCTGATGGGCAGGGCCCCCACGCACGTGGATGGCCACCAGCACGTGCACGTGCTCCCAGGTGCGTGGTTGGTGATCCCAGTTTGGAGGGCGTTGACTCCCAGGTGGGGCTGGGGAAGTAGGGAAGAGTTCGATGCCCCTAGGTGAAGGGACGTGCTCCTCCTAGACCCGCTCCGCCCGCAGGCGTGTGCCAGGTGTTCGCCGAGGCGCTGCAGGCCTATGGGGTGCGCTTTACGCGACTGCCGCTGGAGCGCGGTGTGGGTGGCTGCACTTGGCTGGAGGCCCCCGCGCGCGCCTTCGCCTGCGCCGTGGAGCGCGACGCCCGGGCCGCCGTGGGCCCCTTCTCCCGCCACGGCCTGCGGTGAGGCTTCCCGCCCTGTCTCCTACCATAGCTGCCCCAGTCCCTCCGCACTGACTATTCACCTGGCTAGCTGTGTCCGTTTCTCAGCCCGGAAGCGAAAGCGAGTCTGGCGTGGATCGCTGCCGCCACCCCAGTTCCCCCCTCCCGTCCCCCGTCCCTACCCTATCCTACCCTACCCTACCCTAGCCTAGCCCTGGCCATGGCCCGGCCTGGCCCCGCGGCTGATGCCCCGCCCACTACAGGTGGACAGACGCCTTCGTGGGTCTGAGCACTTGCGGCCGGCACATGTCCGCTCACCGCGTGTCCGGGGCCCTGGCGCGGGTCCTGGAAGGTACCCTAGCGGGCCACACCCTGACAGCCGAGCTGATGGCGCACCCCGGCTACCCCAGTGTGCCTCCCACCGGCGGCTGCGGTGAAGGCCCCGACGCTTTCTCTTGCTCTTGGGAGCGGCTGCATGAGCTGCGCGTCCTCACCGCGCCCACGCTGCGGACCCGGCTTGCCCAGGATGGCGTGCAGCTTTGCGCCCTCGACGACCTGGACTCCAAGAGGCCAGGGGAGGAGGTCCCCTGTGAGGCCACTCTGGAACCCTTCCTGGAACCCTCCGTACTCTGACCCGCTACCGACAACCAAGCACTAATCCCCTTACTACCAAGCAAGGGGAGCCAGGATTTAGTCCTGGCCCAGCCCAGAACCGGTCCCTGGAGCAGGGTCTGTTGACTTCCCTGGGTAGGACACTGCCACGTCTGGGCCCAGGTCCTCATGGCTCCAAATGGTATCTAGAGTTTGAGCAGCCTTCTTGGCTGCAGGCGGGTCCATCCTGTGGCAGCGGGCTAGGGCCCGCAGAGCATTTGGTGCCCCTCCATGCTGCAGTGCAAACACCTTCACTACTGGGGCAGTGGGGAGAGATGGCTATATTAATAAAATAACGTGTGTCTTTCAAACTTGGGTGGTTTATTAGCTCTGCCCAGGAGACCCTCACAGAAACAAGCAGGGACAAAGAGCAGCTCCCTCTTGGCTCAAACCACTCCAGGAAATGGCCCATTCTCCATTCTGGTTTTGTTCATTTGTTCATGCTGCGGTTTTCTTTATTCCTTTTTAGGGGGTGGGAGTGGGAGAAGACTGCCCTCACCAGGCTGCTTTTGAAGAGGCATAATACTATAATCTCAGTAGTGATTTTTAGAAGTCACCTGTAGGCCAAGTGCGATGGCTCACACCTGTAATCCCAGCACGTTGGGAGGCCGAGGCGGGTGGATCACCTGAGGTCAGGAGTTTGAGACCAGTCTGACCAACATGGAGAAACCCCATCTCTACTAAAAATACAAAATTAGCTGGGCGTTGGTGGTGCATGCCTATAATCCCAGCTACTCAGGAGGCTGAGGCAGGAGAATCGCTTGAACCTGGGAGGCGGAGGTTATGGTGAGCCGAGATTGCGCCATTGCACTCCAGCTTGGGCAACAAGAGTGAAATTCCGTCTCGAAAAAAAGAAAAAAAAAGAAAAAGAAGTCATCTGTTTAGATGTAAGCCATTCTAGGGGATAGGCGTGAGGAGACCCTGCAACCCCGTGGAAATACATTTAAATTTTTCTAGGAGGAGCAGTCTTCCCAGGAAATGGGATACCGAGGTTTCTAACTTGACCTGGCAATGTAGGGATGCCCTGTGGACTGGGGCCCCATGTGGCTTCGGCGAAAGCTCCTGAGGTGCAGGAGCAGATGGGGAAGGCAGTGGGAGTCCTCTGGAGCACAGAGTCCTTCTGCCCCACTCCGGAGGATGGAAAGGCAGATGGAATACCATGTGGTTCTTATCTCATTTCATGAAATAGCATCTATGAGGCAGGCACCGATCTCCCCATTTTACAGGGGTAGAGGCAGGAGTGGCAGAACAGGGCTTTGAAACTACTCATTCATTTATTTAATGTGCACCAGGCCCTAGCCTGGGCCAAACATGGAATCAGTGGCCAAGAGAGCTCTCACCCAGCCTAGGCAGCTTAGGGGGTCGTGTGGCTTTCTGAAGGGTGAGTGTGGGATGTCTCTCCGCCTTCCTGCTTCTACCCACCCATGCCCCATCCCCTTGACTGCAGCTTCAGTCCCTTTTTCTGGCTCCACACTCGTCTTCCATCTTGACCTTCACTAGACTTGGACTCTCCCATCCACAGCCCTATTCCTGCTTTCTTGCACCCATGCTTGTGAGCTGGAATCACTGTACGGTGGCTCCTCCTGCTGCCTAGCCTCCATCTCCTCGCCTCAGCCTAATGAGATCTGGCCACACTCCTGGCTGGGGCTGGGAGAGGGGTGGCCTGAAGTTAGCCGGGGGCACAGACGCAGCTCCCTTGAGGGGCTTCTGTTATGGAAGTGTTCTGAGAGGAGCAGGCAGCTGGTTGTGCAGCTCTAGGCTCAGGAGAGAGGTGTGGGTGGGCAGGAGAGATCTGGGCGTCTGCACAGATGCTAGATGAGTGGCTACTGTCACCCACGGAGGGAAGGAGGGATGAGCAAAGAGCCGACAGCAGCCCTGGGGACCATGAACTTTTTTTTTAAAGACAGGATCTCATCCTGTCACCCAGGCTGGAGTACAGTGGCACAATCACTGCAGTCCTCGATCTCCCCAGGCTCAGTTGATCATCCCACCTTGGCCTCCCGAGGAGCTGGGAACACAGGCATGTCTGGTTCATTTTTTATTTTTTGTAGATGGGGTTTTGGCATGTTACCCATGCTGGTCTCAAACTCCTGGGATCAAGAGATCTGGTCACCTTGGCCTTTCCTTCAGTGTTGGAATTACAGGCGTCAGCCACAGCGCCCTGCTGACCATGAGCATTTGAGTGAAGTGAAGCCAGGCGCAGTGGCTCACACCTATCATCCCAGCGCTTTGGGAGCCTGAAGTGGGAGGATTACTTGAGCTCTGGAGTTCGAGACCAGCTTGGACAACACAGTAATACCTCATTTCTGTTATTTTAAAAAGAAAAAATAATGGCTGGGCATAGTGGCTCACGCCTGTAATCCCAGCACTTTGGGAGGCTGAGTCGGGAAGGCTTGAGGCTAGCAGATCGAGACCAGACTAACTAACATGCCAAAACCCTGTCTCTATAAAAAATACAAAAATTAGCCGGGTGTAGTGACACGAGCCTGTAGTTCCATCTACTCAGGAGGCAGAGATAGGAGGATCGATTGAGCCTGGGAGGTAGAGGCTGCAGGGAGCAGTGATCATGCCACTGCACTCTAGCCTGGGCGACAGAGTGAGCTCGGCTCAAAAAAAAAGAGTGAAGTGAGGGGCCACAGACTCACAGGATAATCAGGCCCACCTGATTATAATGAGGCCCTCCTCACGAGGAGGTGAAAGTGATAAGGACCTGTTAGGGTGGTGACTTGTGGCCCACGGGGGTTGTGGGGGCAGCAACAGGGGTATGTCTTAGCCAAGTGGTTCACTGTTACCCACCCACTCAGCATTCGTGTCTGCAGGGTCCACTCTGTGCCAGGCCAGGGCTGGAGCTGAAACGGCCTGGTCTGCAAGGAGCTCCCAGTCTGGTACACACAAGGACAGTCATCCAGTGACACAGGAAGATGTAGGAGAAACCCGCGGCAACGTGTGCAGCCACAGGGCGGTTTCCGAACCTGGCCAGCACAGGGTGGGGAATGCTCTCTGCAAGTGACTTCCTTCCCAGGGCCTCAGTTATGGCCTCTGCACGGTGGTCCTTTCCACTCTGATCCTCTGAGGCCTCCAGGGTTCCCTAGGAACCGTCAGTGAACAAGAACACATTCCAATAATCTGGTAAATGGCCACTTACCAGGCATGGCCTGGGCCAAGCACTGCACTGCACTGCACTGGGAGCAATGGTACCCTCAGCTCCCCTCTGTTCCAGGTTGGTGCCCTTCCCCCACGCCATACCCAGGAAGCAGGGAGAGGAGGAAGAGGTGGGCAGGACAGGGTGGGAAATGCAGAGAGCAGCTCTGGCTTTCTTTTAGGGCTGGGTTAGATGGCACCAAATGAAAGGAGCAGCAGCAAGGGGCAGCAGGTGACAGAAGTCAGGCTGCGGCAGGTACAGGAGTGATGAAATGGATGCTTATTTCAAGCTGAACAATTAATAGTGAACAAGGCCAAAACTGGTGGCTGGTGGCTGTAGGAAAGAGGAAGTTGACAGAGTGGCTTAAAGGTCTCTGGCTTTGGGGAGGGGGGTAACTGGCTGTTTCTGGGCTCAGAGGGACCCTGTGGGAGGAAACGTGCCAAGTGGTGGAATGCAACAGGCTCTGCAGTCAGAATGTGAACAAAAACAGGCCAGGGGTCTTGGTTGTCTTTAAAAGCAGGGATAAGGATGCCACAGGGCTCTCCTGAGGCTCAGAGGGTAAAGTGCTAGGTATGTTAAAGGCTAGTAAAATGACACCCCAGGAAGCTTCCTTCCCCAAGACCTGCAGATCCAGCTGACAGTGCAGGCCTGGTCTCAGCAGGTGTCAAATTCCAGGCAGGGAAGGCCTGGCCAAAAAAGTCCTGGGCCTGGCTGAGCCCTTGCTGAGTCAGCACCACTGCTGCAGCACCTGGCAGCGGGCTGCACTGGGGGACTCAAATAGTGTTTCTGGCTGGCACCATTCATGGACATGGTCCAGCTCCACCCTCAGGCACAGCCTTATTAATTCTGTGACCTCTTGGGACCCCAGGTTTGCCTCTTCAAAACACGGATCGTAACACTCCCAGGGGGCTCCAGGATGACTCCCACATGTAAGTGATGCACCCACACGTTATTCCCTGTCCCCTCACAAGACATCCAAGAGCGCCCTCTGCAGGCCCCGACTGTCTGGAGTCTCTGGCTTTCTCGTTGATTATACCTCATCTCCTTCCCTCTAGGGAGGCAGGAACACCTCTATGTACCTCTTTTGGAGAGGCTGGGAATGGGGAGAGAGATCAGAAGCCCCAGGACCTGGGCCCCAGCCAGCCCTCCCATCTCCAAGAGCACAGGCCCCTGGCACTGCCCGCTCCCAGGAAGGAAGAAACCCACACGACTAACCAGTGTCTGAGAGCATTTTTATTAAGGGCAGCAGAACGGGATCGCAGCATCTTAGAAAGCCTATTCTCTGCCGTGGTGGGGAGTGGGGAGCAGAGGGAAGGACCCGGCACACTTCAAGAAACCAGGCGGGTGTGAATTCCTGAGTGAGCTAGGGGCAGCAGTGGGTGGCTGCTCCACAGCTCGCCCCTCCTCCAGAGGACCCAGCTTTTTGGTTTTGGAGCAGCCAAGGCTGTTCACCAGCTTGCTCAGAGCCTACCCTGAGGGCATGGCTGGCAGGAGCAAGTCGCCAAGGCCGGAAGGAGAGACACCCACTGGCTCGAAAGCCAGGCCTCTGCTGACAGGGCCAACCCTGGGGTGCCAGTGCCAGGGCTGAGAGTCCCTGAGGGGCTGCTGGCACACAGGTATCCTCCCGTGGTGAGCAGAGCGCAGTGAGGGGGTGACAGGCAGGCAGAGCTACGTTGGCAGAAATATGAAGCAATGGGACAGTTTCCAAGAATGGCAACATTTCTGGATCCAGAGAAGCAACAAGAACAAATGGTGGCTTGTTTGGATAGTTTCTGACAGAATTTGGCATTTTATTACAAATTGGAGTGTGAGTGAAATAAAATCCATCATCATTTTTCTGCTAATGAAGAGACATATACGGAAACGCCAGCCCGGTGCCCTTGCCATCCTGGGCACACGAGTCTCCAGAAACCTGCCCTTGGCATACCTAGGACAAAAGAAGCTGAGTTCATGTACACACCACAGGGGCCACGCGCCTGAATGATGTTAGGCTGCCTAACCTGCCCATCACTCCCCACTTCTGCACAGATCAGACCGGAAAGATCTAGAATTAAAATTAAAACAAAAAGCAAAGTTTAAGTCATCTTCTCCACAGGATCTAGTCCCCCCAAAAGCCAAGAAGGGAAGCCACCAGTGGCAGAAGCGGGGTTGGTGACACACGGCATTTGG